GGCGAGAAATATGATTCCTCAGTTTGTTGTGTCTCGTGCGGACTTCTTCGGCTCGCGTTCGGGGCCTCTCCGGCCGTCTTCGGCAGCTCATGCGCCGTTTGGGGGCCCTGTTCGCCCCCCTTGGGGCGGCCAGCGGGGTCTCCAGTGCCTCTCGGGCGCTCTGAAGCATGTCGAGCCTTCCATGTCCGAGCCCGAGCCTCCTGCAGCCTTGCTTGGAGCCACGTTGACCTCTCCAGTGTTCGAGCGGATTCTTCGACAAGCTGTGCGAGCTGCGAAAAGAATTGCGCCTTTGGAGACGTCTTCTGAGAATCTGTCATCACCTTTGACATCAGACTGTCAAACGTGCAGGAGGTCGCAAAGCAACAGAAGCTCGCGTGGCTCTGATGGCTTCGGCGTGACACACTTGGAGCGGAAGATGAAGACGGAGCGCACAGCGACGGGAAGGATGACCAATGGACCACCACCACCAGCACCACCACCACCACCACCACAACCACCACCACCAGTGGCTCGTGGGCCGTCTTGGGGCTCTCTTGGGGGCCTCCTGGGCCATCGTGGTGTTGCCTGGGAGACCCTTGGGGCGGCCTGGGAGACGTTGTGGGCCGTCTTGGAGCGTGGGAAGCTCGGCCAGGGCAGACTGGCGAAAACCTTGAAAAACAAAAAAGAAGTCACTGATTGTGGCTTGTCGGAACTGTCCATGGATTTCCCGTCGGGCGCACTCGGTGCCTCTGGGGAGTCTCTTGGCCCGTCTTAGGGCTACCTTAAGCGTCTCGGGACGTTCTTGGGGGTCTCGCGGAGCGTCCTCGAGGCCCCCCGACCATTCTGCCAGCCATCCGGGGCGCTTTTGGGTCAGTGTTACCGGACTCGGAAGCCCGGGGGCCGCCGAAGGGGCGTCCTGGTGGCTGTCGTAGGGCTCTCTGGAAGCGTCTTGGGCGCCTCTTGGGCCGTCTTGGGACCGGCTTGGGGGCCTCCTGGGCCGTCGTAGCTGCCTGGGAGATCATTGGGGCGGCCTGGAAGACGTCGTGGGCGTTTTGGATCGTCGGAAGCTCGACAATGGGAAACTGCCGAAAACAAGCAACAACGTATGGAAAATCAATGTTTTTTGGTTGTCGGGGCTGTCTCTGGAGTCCTCTTCGGGCGCACGTCGTGGTTCTGGGGAGCCTCTTGGCCCGTCTTGGGTCTACCTGCAAACGTTTCGGAACGTTCTGGGGGGTCTGTCGGAGCGTCCTGGAGGTCTCCCGGGCACTCTGGCAGCCATCCGGAACGCTCTTGGGGCACTCTTGGGCGGATTTGGAGGCCCGAAGGCAGCCGAAGAAGCGTCCCAGGAAGGGCCCACGAAAGCCTGGAAGACGTCGTGGGCCGTCTTGGAGCGTCGGAAGGTCGAAAAGGGGAACTGCCGAAAACATGCAACAAACAAAAGAAAATCAATGTTTTTTGGTTGTCGGGGCTGTCTCTGGGGTCCTCTTCGGGCGCACGTCGTGCTTCTGGGGAGCCTCTTGGCGTGTCTTGGGGCTACCTTGAGCGTCTCGGAGCGTTCTGGAGGGTCTCTCGGAGCGTCCTGGAGGCCTCCCGGGCACTCTGGCAACCATCCGGAACGCTCTTGGGGCACTCTTGGGCGGATTCGGAAGCCCGAAGGCAGCCGAAGAAGCGTCCCGGGAAGGGCCCACGAAAGCCTGGGAGACGTCGTGGGCCGTCTTGGAGCGTCGGAAGGTCGAGGGGAAACTGCCGAAAACAGGCAAACAAAAGGAAAATCAATGTTTTTTGGTTGTCGGGGCTGTCTCTGGGGTCCTCTTCGGGCGCACGTCGTGGTTCTGGGGAGCCTCTTGGCCCGTCTTGGGGCTACCTTGAGCGTCTCGGAGCGTTCAGGAGGGTCTCTCGGAGAGTCCTGGAGGCCTCCCGGGCACTCTGGCAGCCATCCGGCGCGCTCTTGGGGCACTCTTGGGCGGACTCGGAGGCCCGGGACCCGCTGGAGGGGCGGACTCGGAGGCCCTGGGGCAGCCAGAGGGGCCTCCCGGGAGGGGGCCACCGGCAACCTGGGAGACATCGTGGGCCGTCTTGGAGCGGCGGGAGCTCGAAAAGGGGAAACTGCCGAAAACAGGCAAAAACCTACGGAAAATCAATGTTTTTTGGTTGTCGGGGCCGTCTCTGGTGTCCTCTTCGGGCGCACGTCGTGCTTCTGGGGAGCCTCTTGGCGTGTCTTGGGGCTACACTGAGCGTGTCGGAGCGTTCTGGGTGGTCTCTCGAAGCGTCCTGGAGGCCTCCCGGGCACTCTGGCAGCCATCCGGCGCGCTCTTGGGGCACTCTTGGGCGGACTCGGAAACCCGGGACCCGCTGGAGGGGCGGACTCGGAGGCCCGGGGGCAGCCAGAGGGGCCTCCCGGGAGGGGGCCACGCCCTGTATACAAGGGAGGTTCCGGCCCGGGGCCCGGTGCCCGGGATCTCCCATATGTGTGTGTGTATGTATATATATATATATATATATATATATATATATATATATGCAGCTGGTTTTCTTTTGTTCGTGCCTCCTGCCACGGGCGTCACTTTTGCCCGTCCGAGCTTATCTCCTTATCATGGCTGCCAGCGCCGCCATCAACTGTGTCGCGCTTCGGCCGAGGTCGCCTAGCGTGGCGAGAAGTGCCTCTGCGTCCTGCTCGGGCACCTCGAAGAGGTCGTCGGGCCCGTCGACGAACGCCTCCGCGTCGATCTGGGGCAATACCGCCGGCGTCGGCAGATCTGGCCCTTGGTTCTCTGAGACCTCGGCTGGGCAGACTTACCCATGGGAATCAGAGGATGAGCTCGTCGTTGAACATGAAGCTTTATCACGAACATCGAGAAGCCGCTGCGCCTGACGGATGCAGGCATCGTCAGAGCTTCCTCCAACCAAGGTCTTCCAATATATCCTGATCTGAGCCGTGAGCTGAGCACCCGCCTCGCGAGATCGGGCACGTACGCTGCCTGCCATTGTTAAGCTGTGCTTCTCTGCTTTGGCGATTTCCAAGCCTCGGCGTCGGACGAAAATCCGTGATCGATTCAGCTCGTCTGTAGCGTGATTGAACGATACTCCGTAATGAACCTCTCGTTCTTTGTCTCTGGACTCTCTACGTTCGCAACCCCAAGATGTGCTACGGACTGGTCGATCCCGTCAGCCTCGTTCAATCCGTTTCTCACGTCGATGGGACGCTGCTGCACTTCAACGGGCCAACATTATACAACCTGTCTGGCTTTCTGTTCGGCTGTGTACACAGTTGTGCTGGACCAAGAAGCTCAATCTGACTTGTACAGCTCGAACTTCTCAGATCCCAACCACATGTGAGGCGCCTCGTGATCTCTGCTTTTGGGGGCCCACGCCGACACGAGAGCGGCCCAGTCGTATGTCCAATGGCCGTTGTTTGGTCGAAATGCGCTAGAGCAACTGCGCCTCGCTGAGATCGTGCGAACGGCCGCCAAAGACCAGAGCTTTGGCACGGAAGCCAAACATTCGGAGGAGGGCCAACGTGGTCAAGAAATACGGATTCGGGGTCTCATCGGGTGCGTTCCGGCACCGCCCCTCGCTGGCTACATTTTTCCAGCCCCAAAAGGGGTTCCACCCCCCCGACTTCCGCTGGTCTGTCTCGTCGCGATGTCGGTCATGTGACCGCTTCGTCGTCATTCCTAGCTAGCCTCTGTGCCTCGGCACCCGGGTCCACTGCTCGGTCTAATTGTCGTCGTTCCTTGACCCTGGTCGCTGCCGGTGCTGGGCTCGAGACCATGGTTGCGACTTCTGCTCTCCAGTACAGTTGAGGCCAGTCCACCAGAAACCTTCCACAACGAGACCAACCCTGAGACCACAGGACGTCCATCGATTTTGATGTGGGAACGTCGCGCTCTCCATCGCAAAACCATCGATACCCAAGCAACCCAGGGCACCCTGGAGGCAAGCAGTGTGTTTCTTGGCATGGGCTTCCACTGCAATCCGTCGGGGGCTGTGGCGGTACAGTATCTGGCCCCTCTGTCTTTATGTTCCTCATCCTCGTCCTCCTCCTCGTCCTCCTCCTCGTCCTCCTCCTCCTCCTCCTCCTCCCACCTTGCCCTCACTCTTCGCACACACTCCACGGCCCCCGCCGCTCTCCACCCCGCTCCGCTGCCCCATCTCGTCACCCTCCGATGTCGTCCTCTGGGAAAAGGGGCTGGACAAGGTAGGCATCGCACCCTTCCCTCTGCGCAGCACGGCGAAGGCGAGAGACGAATCTGCACGCGCTAAGCCCCAAAAAGGCCTCCCAGGACAGACGCGAGCGGAGCGGAGGAAGAGAGAGGGGGAGGAGGCAGGACCCAGGGGCCGTAGGTAGAAACACGAAGTAGGAGGGCGGATCAAGCGGATTGGGTCCAGGCCCTCCCAGAGAACAACGAAACCCAGCAAGAGCATGCCGATCCTTGAGGTAGGAAGGCGCTTGACGTAGATTGGGATCTGGGGACCCAAAAATACCTACTTCCAACGACCGGCGTGTACTCACAGGGGCGTGGAACACCGACTAAAACACATGCGCACGGCGTGCGCGGGTCACTTCAGGAGCGCCCCACCACTCGTGTCGTTTTGGCGAATTCACTGTTATCTGGCCATCGCTCGGACGTCCATTCCCTGTGTTTTTGTTTCGGTTTCGTGCGTGGTTTTTTCGCCAAATGAGCAAGGATGCTCCTCGACGGTCCTCGCCGAAGGAAAAATGCACATGTCCGAGCGATGCCAAGGTATGTATGTCGGCGGGATAAGGCGAGTCTGTTGGATGGCTAAGGGAACCATCGACATTCGCCAGGATCGTGCAACAGCAACGGATGGTTGGGAGGCCAGACCAACTCTCGACACTGCAGAACAACGTTTCCGTGCACATCCTTCTGGAGAACTCAGAGCCAGGCTCAGTCACGGACGCGGCAGCTGTGAGTGACACTGTATGTATGACAAATGGGCTGATCGTCTCTGCACACTGGTGTTACGTCCATCCCTCCGTAAGAAAAGAGAAGCTCGACCATGATGCACCCCCAGAGTGTGTGTCCAGTCTGCCAGCTTCATCTCCACGCGCTTGGTCCTGAGCAAGACACATGCACCGACCAAATTCTTAACAGAGGCGTGGCCAAGCGGTACATCCGGTTGATACTGCAGGGTTGTGGCGTGACTACGGCGATGGATTCTGACACCTCGTGCATCGTCTAACCTGGAACGACCGGCGGCGTTTCGACCGCGCGATCTTCCCACAATCATAAGCCGATTCTGGGCCTCTGGTGGCGCTCCGCCTTGACCGCCCGCGGCGGGGTCGCTGCCGCGTCGGCACGAGAAGAACCTACCGCAAACACGCTGACGCGCTCTTCGGAAGCGGCCAAGAGGGGGGTGTCCAAGAGGGGGGTGCAAATCATGACCGCGGGCATGTGCGCGGCCCAGCGGGGGGGCCAGGGACGTAATGAAATAAGAAGAGGCGCCATGAAATCTGGGGAAATATCATGGCCCACGCCATGATATCCACCCCCCCCTAGTTATCACCCCCCTCTTTTCCGCCCCCGAGCTCCCCGCGCCACGACTCTGCCACAGCCTGGACCCCCCAGGAGGCCTCGGCCCGCTCCCTGGGAGGCCGACCGCCCCAGCCCGAACAGTTGGCTGCACTGTCCTGTGGGAGCCCCGCGAGGGACCCCCTTGGAGGCCGGGGCTCGTGAAACGCCGTCCGTCGCGATCCTCTTACTGGCCATCGCTCGGACGTCCATTCCCTGTGTTTTTTTTCGGTTTCGTGCGTGGTTTTTCCGCCAAATCATCAAGGATGCTCCTCGATGGCCCTCGCCGAAAGAAAAATGCACATGTCCGAGCGATGCCAAGCTTACGGGACGGGACGTCGTCGTCGCGTCGACGCGACGCGGACCTGCTGCCGCTCAACGGAGGGGGTATGGCGACCCTGCAAGTCCCGATCTCGTGGCGCTCCCGAGCGCACCAAACACGGAGCGCAATCTCAGGAGTGTGCGAATGGGGAGGCGTCCAGCCTCGATCGGGGCGCGTCCGGATCGCCCCCCCGGGGGTGTATCCCTGAATCCCCCCCCTTGCGCACGAGCGGCGCGATTTGCAGGGCGGAACTCAGGCAGCGGGGTCGATACAGTGGAGGACAGTCCACCAGAAACCTTCCACCATAATCCCAGCCCTGAGACCCCAGGACGTCCATTGATTTTTTTGGTGCGAGAGCTCCGCGATTTCCATAGCTGACTACCTGCCAGACCACTCCAACCCAACCCGAAGACCCGAATTTCGGGGTGGGAGGGGGTATGGGCTCCGTATGTGTTTATTGTTTCGATGTTCCCCGACCCCCCCCCACCGGAAATGGAGGGTAGATTGACATCTTCGGGTTGGGTTGGGGTGGTATGGTGGGTGGCGAAGAGCAAAACCATGCGCACGAACCAAGGGCGAGAGTTTACTCTCCGATTCCGATTGTGCTGCGCATGCTCGCCCGGTCGCCCTGCACGATACCGCACGCTTGCGCCGCCTCTCCTTCGCAGTGCGCCCGCCGCAGCGGGGGTGAGCAGCAGGCGGCGGAGGAGGCTCTGCAGGCCCCTCAAAAAAAGAAGCTTGCCTCCAGGGTGCCCTACGGGGCCACGATCATCGTGAGGGGTGTGCCGAAATGGCCCGAGGCCTCCATGCGAACCCTGCCACTGGCGCCTTCGCTGGAGCTCCCCATGGGGCCACGAAACGCTGTACTGGGCGGGTGAAACGCAGGGAGGAGGGAGGAGGGGGAGGAGGAGGAAGGAGGAGAGGAGAGGAACGCGGGGCACCGTCTCTTCAAAACGAGGACCCAACACCACAGGATGGTTGGGGCACCCCACAAGCTCTCTACGATGGTTCCACAGTGACGTCCTGGGAGCAGGCGGCATCACAACAGAAACTTCAGGGGTCGAACCTCCAGTGTGGAACCCTACCCACTCTTTCAAATGGCTCTAAAAAGACTCCCTGAGAGCAGGGGGCATCGCAGCTCAACCGCCAAGGCTACCGCCGACGGATGAAGCAGCATCGTCCGCGCGCGATGGAGAGGCAACGCTGTCGCCCTCAAACACGTACGTCTGGATAGAGTGCGGAGGTATGGACGTTGAGGCCGCCCGGCCACCGTGAAGGAGCTTGAAGTCGATGGCGCCCTCGCCGCAGTTGAGCACCACGGTGGAGACGCGACCGTCCGGGCGGCGGAAGGACGTGGCCGCCAGCCCGTCCTCGCCGGTGCAGGTGCCGTACGGCCGCCAGATCCCGTGGTAGCTGGGCGTGGGCCCCACGGTCGTAACCAGCCGCACGGAGTCCGGAGGGATAAACTTGGAAAAATGGCCGATGAAGTAATACTGCGGGTGGCGGTAGACGTCCCCTGTCGACAGGTTGGCCATCATCGCCGCGTCGCACACGTTGCCTGCATGGTTGGGGCCGCCGTTCTCATCCAGCAGGAGGTTCCAGTCTATCCAGCCGACGCTCCCGGCGTTGAGGTCGCCTATGATGTCGTGCGCATAGCCCTCACCCATGCTCCACTCCCCGCTCTCGAGCGTGGCGCCCGCCTTCCAGCGCCAGCGCTCGTAGGTCGCCTCGCTCGCCAGCAGCTGGAGCTGGGGCAGGGCGGCGTGGATCGAGGCGACGGCGCCGAACCAATCGCCAGAGTACCAGTGGTAAGCGACGCCGGTGGCATACTTTGCGGCATTCTTATCCTCGCTGATGACCTTCGCCCACTGGGCGACGTGGTTCTTGCCGTGGTCGTAGACGAAGATCGAGACGTTCGGGTGCTCAGAGCTCATGGCGGGGCCCAGGTACGTCCCCAGGAATTCGGCCTCCTCCGAGGAATTGAAGAGGCACGCCTCCCAAGAGGCATTGTACTCTGGCTCGTTCTGGATCGTGACAGCCCAGATCGGCACTCCGTGGTCCTTGTAGGCGGTGATCCACTTCACGAAATACTTCGCCCAGGCGGCGTGGACTTCCGCTTCTTTGCGCAAACAAGGACTGCTGGAGTGATCCATCATCTTGTTCTCTTTCATCCACGCAGGCGGGCTCCAAGGCGTGGCGAGCAGTCTCAGGGAACGGCCCTGCGGCGTGATCACGTCCTGGGCGGCCTTGATGAATGGTATAAGAGCCTTCGCGTCGTGCCCGACGCTCATGTCGAACGACGCGAGGTCAAACTCGCCGTCCTTCTCGTGGAACGCGTAGTTCTCCGTCGAGAAGTCGCAGCTGTTGATGTGCACCCGGCCAAGAGTGTACCCGAGCCCCTCTGGCCCGAAGTAGTCGTTCAGCACCGCGCGTTGCTTCTCTGCGTTGAGCTTCTGGAAAACGACCGCGCTCGCCTCCGTGAATGCTCCGCCGAAGCCCTTCAATACCTGGTCCGTCACGTCGGACACTTCGACGGTGGGGCCGTCGAAGTCGAAGTCGGCACCGAACGCCACGTCGGGGCGCTGGGCGATGCGCTCCGGCTGGGCCCCGGGCGACGTCTGCCACCGCTGCGCCGCGTGGGCGGCGGGCGGGGGCGTGCTCGAGGACTCCTCCTCGGACCTCTGGCGCCGCCCCTCCGCAGCCAGCCCCTCGCTGCTGCCACGGCGGCCGCCGGCCGGCCCCGCGGCCGCGGCGGAGGCCGCCGACGTGCGCCGCCCCTGCTGACGCTGCAGCAGCTCCAGCGCGGGGCCCCCGAGCTCGCCGTCCCGGGCCACGTCCGCGCTCACGCCGGGGCTCGCGCGGCTGCCGCCGCGGGCCGCGCCGCAGGCCGCCGGCGCAGGCGAGGCCCCGGCAGCGAGGGCGGAGAGCGCGCAGGCGAGCAGCAAGAACCGTCGAGACGAGAGAAACATGGACTAGAAGCTGCTGGCGAGGCGCCGGAAGCTCAGGGCTGCCCGCGATGTCAAGGGTTGTCCATCTTATGGGCGGGCATGCCCTTGGGCCAGAATGGCTACGGACCCTGGAGGCAGGCACGGTGCTTCTTGGCATGGGCCTCCCATGTACATCGCCTGCGACTGCACTTCCCTGTCGGTGCAGAAATGCTGCCCCTCGCCAGGCGGGGGCGGCGCCGACGACTGGCAGATATGGGCGGGCCTCTCGGCGGCTGCGGCCTCGGGCGCCGCGCCAACCTTCGCGTGCGTCGTGCGCGTCCATCGTGGGGCTTCCGTCCCACGCCATTCCCAAATGTCCGACGATATGTTGTTTCAATCCAAGCGGCTGCTCGTGACTTCGGACCCCTGGAAGCGCTTTCGGGCTCGGGGATCTTCTGACCCGGGTCAATCCAGACCCGGGGCAATCAGGCCTTGCAGACTCTTGCAAGATCCTACAACATCCTGCATCCAAGCCCAGGTCAATGCGAAAGATCATGCAACATCCTGCAGGATCCTGTTCACAAGCCCCGGTCAGTGCGATCCTTGCCCTGCAGGATCCTGCAAGATCGGGCGCTCTGGCTGACTCCCGTTGGCATTGACCCCCTTCTCTTACCCCAAGACGGGCCCCATCCAGAATGGATCCCGGACGAAGACACACTTCAGGGACGGATTGAACAGATACATCGGAGGTTGTCTGGTTTTCCAGCTCGCCCTTCTTCCCTCCTCGCTTTTAGGGGCAGGGGCAAATCGACACCGAGCTGTCCTACTGGCCTGTGCCGTTTTTGTTGCGCCCCCTCGCGGGCTTACACCTCGAACCACTCCAGCCCATCCTCCCTCCCCTCTCGTTCTTGGCGGCGCGCACCAAGGGGGGTGTGCCGAGAGGGTACGAGGGCAGTTCCCACTGGGCCCTTCCAACAGTGGTTTCTGCCTTCCAATAAGCACGCCTTGTTAGTAGACCAGCCCCCTAGCGTTAGGTCGGGCATGTCCCCCTACAGGCGTTTTTTGGACGGTAAGTTGAAAATGTTCAAAACATACAACAAGAAAATGAAGAACATCGAAACGTATGAATTTTCCTCCTGTAGAGGGACAAGCCCGACTTATCCGTAGCGTCCCTCACAACGACGCTCCCCTGTGGACTTCTTCCCAATGGCCAGCTCGACGGTCCCGGGGAGCCTGGTGAATAGCCTTAGGTCGGGCCTGTCCCCCTACACGGGGACTTTGAACGACAAATCAAAAGTACCCTAACAAAATATTCAAAAAATGTAGAAAATGCTGGAAGAATCGTCTCCATACCATTTTTGCACCATTTTTGAACATGCCTTTTTGAACATGCCTCCTGAAGACGGACAGGCACGAACAAAAAACCTTCCCCTGCAACTGTTCCACGATGCGAGAATTCGCGCTGTCCGCCTGTGCGCGCCGCACGAAGTGGGCCATCCGACGATGTGATTTTTGTTACAGCGCGGTGCCTCCAACGAACAAACAAATGTTCATCCCAAATCCATTCTTGATAGTCCCGGAGCCTGCTAGCAGGCCAACAAGACCGAATTGAGCTCCAGGAGAAAAAAAAACGGGATCGAAAGATACAGATCGCCGGAAATGCAGGCTTTCGGGTCCACCGAAGGCCCCAGTGGGGGTGCCCGCATGCGGTTCCCCCACCCAGGGCGACGTTTCGTAGCTCCAACGGGAGCTCCACCGAAGGCCCCAGTGGGGGTGCCTGCATGCGGTTCCCCCACCCAGCTCGGCGCTTCGTGGCCCCATAGGGAGCTCCACTGTAGGCCCCAGTGGGGGTGCCCGCATGCGGTTCCCCCACCCAGGGCTGCGTTTCGTGGCCCCATAGGGAGCTCCACCGACGGCCCCAGTCGGAGTGCCCGCATGCGGTTCCCCCACCCAGGGCAGCGTTCCGTGGCCACATAGGGAGCTCCACCGAAGGCCCCAGTGGGGGTGCCCGCATGCGGTTCCCCCACCTAGGGCAGCGTTTCGTAGCCCCATATGGGGGCTCCACCGAAGGCCCCAGTGGGGGTGCCCGCATGCGGTTCCCCCAACCAGCTCGGCGTTTTGTGCCCCCATAGGGAGCTCCACTGTAAGCCCCAGTGGCGGTACCCGCATGCGGTTCCCCCACCCAGGGCAGCGTTTCGTAGCCCCATAGGGAGTTGCACCGAAGGCCCCAGTGGGGGTGCCCGCATGCGGTTCCCCCACCCAGGGTAGCGTTTCGTAGCCCCATAGGGAGCTCCACCGAAGGCCCAGGGGGGGTGCCCGCATACGGTTCCCCCACCCAGGGCAGCGTTTCGTAGCCCCATAGGGAGTTCCACCGAAGGCCCCAGTCGGGGTGCCCGCATGGGGTTCCCCCGCCCAGGGCAGCGCTTCGTGGCCCCATAGGGAGCTCCACCGAAGGCCCCAGTGGCGGTGCCCGCATGTGGTTCCCCCACCCAGATCAGCGTTTCGTGGCCCCATAGGGAGCTCCATTGTAGGCCCCAGTGGGTGTGCCCGCATGCGGTTCCCCCACCCAGGGCAGCGCTTCGTGGCCTAATAGGGAGCTCCACCGAAGGCCCCAGTGGGGGTGTTCGCATGCGTCTCCCCTACCCAGGACAGCGTTTCGTGGCCCCATAGGGAGCTCCACCGAAGGCTCCAGTGGGGGTGTTCGCATGCGTCTCCCCTACCCAGGACAGCGCTTCGTAGCCCCATGGGGAGCTGCACCGAAGGCCCCAGTGGTGGTGCCCGCATGCGGTTCCCCCACCCGGGGCAGCGTTTCGTGGCCCCATAGGGAGCTCCACTGTAGGCCCCAGTGGGGGTGCCCGCATGCGGTTCCCCCACCCAGAGCAGCGTTTCGTAGCCCAATCGGGAGCTCCACCGAAGGCCCCAGTGGCGGTGCCCGCATGCGGTTCCACCACCCAGGGCAGCGCTTCGTAGCCCCATAGGGAGCCCCCAGTGGGGGTGTTCGCATGCGTCCCCCCCGCCCAGGACAGTGTTTCGTGGCCCCGTAGGGAGCTCCACCGAAGGTGCCAGAGGAGCAGTTCGCATGCGTGTCCCCCACCCATGACAGCGCTTCGTGGCCCCATAAGGAGCTCCAGCGAAGGTCCCAATGGGGCAGTTCGCATGCGTCTCCCTCGCCCAGGGCAGCGTTTCGTGGCCCCATAGGGAGCTACACCGAAGGCCCCAGTGGCGGTGTCCACATGCGTCCGCGCCACCAATTTCGGCGCACCGCTCACAAGTTTCGTGGCCCCATGGGAGCTTCACCGAAGCCGGTACCCACAATGCGGTACTCGCAACTGCACATGGTTGGGTCCTTCGTCAGGCTAATTTTTTTTTAATATATATATATATATATATATATATACATATATATATATATATATATAAACTCAAAGGATGCCCAAACATACTGAAAACATAGCCCCCTTGGACTATTTTTGAATGTCCCCCCTGAGTGGGACAAGCCCGACATAAATGTATGTCTGTCTGTCTGACTGTCCGTCCGTCTGTCCGTCCGTCCGTCTGTCTGTCTGTCTGTCTGCCTGTCTGTCAGTCTGTCTGCGCGTTGTCCTCGGTTGTCCCACAGACAGAGGTGCGCCACCCGCCCTGGTCGGACACATACTCTGAACTACAGCTGCCTTGGACGACGCTCCCGCTTGGAACACAAGAAAACGCGGTTCAACAAGAACACATAACCAAAGAATCTGCAATGCGTTTCCAACCCACTTTTGACGCAAACCGATTTTGACACATTTCCGCCAGTCGGAAAAGCTGGTGGACACACGAAATAGGAAGGCGGATCAGTAATTAGATTGGGCTCGGACCCACACAAAGAAAAAACACAGGACAACACAAGCAGATCGACTCTTGAAGCAGGAGGCCACTGGAACTAGATTGGGATCTAGAGATGCCCAAATCCGCAAAACCTAATCAGCGTGTTGGAGAGGACCTCCTATGAGAGGCCAGTCCAACCCAATCTGAAGTACGCCAGCCTCCTTCGAATGGTCGTCGTCGTCGTAAGGGAGATCAAACAAAAAAGGCGCATCGAACAGTGTACGTCAAAGGGGACACCCTTCCCTCTGCCCCTTCCCCACTGGGGGAGGGAATCCTTAGGGGGCCGCATGCGAACCCTACCCCTACCCCCCACGATTCCTGAAGAGGTGGGGTTCACTTCGTTCGGGAGCTCCCGAGCGAAATGAACCCCACCCTCCCTCTCGGAAGTCGTGAGGGGTAGGGGTAAAGTTCGCATGTGGCCCCCTAATCCTGGTCTAGCAGGAGGGCGGCGACGTGGGTCCAATCCCGGCTCAGCGGGGCCAGTCCTGGCGAGGTATGTTTCACACTGGGTCCAATCCAGGCCGTGGTGCGACCCTAATACCAAGCCTGCTCAAACTACCGCGCGACTGTAATGGTAAAACCAAGGCTCCCTCGAGAATCCCCAAGGTTTCGGCAGCCGCAGCACTCCCTGGGAAGTCCCTACGGATCCCCCCAAAAATCAAGCACCAGCACGCTCCTCTCAGGATCTCTCGGGATGCCTCGAGCCTCGCGGAACTCTTCAGGCTTGCCCACTTTCTCCAAGGATCCTGTAAGACTCCCCAGGCTCCTTCAAGATTCCGCCAATTCCTGTCCCAGTCCCGGCCCCAGGCATAGGCCCGGACTGGCGCCTTTCCCTAGGGGGGCCCCGGGGGTTCCCTAGGGGGGTTCCCTAGGGGGTCCATTTTGGACGCCCGAGATGGGCACGGAAAAAATGGGTACAATGCCCAACAGCAAATGTTGTCCAAAACTAACAGCGGCCGCTGTTGGGCAGGCGGCCCGCTGTCTCAAATGCACACAGGCCGCGGCGACATCGACAACGACCCCTGTTCAAAATTATCCCGGCAAAGCAACCTAACAGCGATGTGTAGAATCATATCTGGAAGCATTCTCCTTAAGATTCAGATCAGAATCCAGTTGTAGAATTATGCTGTTCTCACAATCGCAGTCGCATTCGCGATGACAGTCGCAGTGGCAACGGCATTCGCAATCACAGCCTCAGCCTCAGCCTGCCTGAGTATCAGCCTGCCTCACTCTCAGCCTCAGCCTGCCTCAGCCTGCCTCAGCCTCAACCTCAGCCTGCTTCAGCCTCAGCCTCAGTCTGCCTTCAGCCTCAGCCTCAGCCTCTGCCTCAGCCTGCCTCAGCCTCAGCCTGCATCAGCCTCAGCGTCTGCCTCAGCCTGCCTCAGCGTCTGCCTCAGCCTGCCTCAGCCTCAGCCTCAGCCTCAGCCTCAGCCTCAGCCTCAGGCTGCCTCAGCATCAGCCTGCCTCAGCCCCAGCCTCAGCCTGCCTCAGCCTCAGCCTCAGCCTGCCTTCAGCCTCAGCCTCAGCCTCAGCCTCAGCCTCAGCCTGCCTCAGCCTCAGCCTGCATCACCTGCCTCAGCGTCTGCCTCAGCCTCAGTCTGCCTTCAGCCTCGGCCTCAGCCTCAGCCTGCCTCAGCCTCAGCCTGCCTCAGCCTCAGCCTCAGCCTGCCTCAGCCTCAGCGTCAGCGTCAGCCTCAGTGCCTCAGCCTCCGGGCATTCAAAATGTGGCCCGGGAGTGGAGTTCTGGGAAGTCGAAGAGCACGAAATGGCCTACAGTTGGCTCCGGGCATTCAAAATGTGGCCCGGGAATGGGGTTCTGGGAGCTCGAAGACCACGAAGTGGCCTACAATTGCCTCCGGGCATCCAAAATGTACGCCGGGAATGGAGTTCTGGGAACTCGAAGACCACGAAGTGGCCTACAGTTGGCTCCGGGCATCCAAAATGTACGCCGGGAATGGAGTTCTAGCAGCGCCAAGAGCGATTTTGCGAGGATGTCCCAGGCGATTTGGGCTTCGGCGGCAGCCGCCCCGGGTCCCGCCCCGACCCCCCTGAGGAGTCATGATGCTCTCTTTTGACACCACTAGAAACCTATCAGTCTTCGCTGTTAGGTAATGAGCAAGAACTGCCGTTGGGCATTGTACCCATTCTTTCCGTGCCCGTGTCGTTCGTGCCCAACCCCAGGGGGGCCCCGGGGGTTCCCTAGGGGGGCCCGAAGGGCTCCCGGCTCCGCGCGGGGTTCCCTATAAGGGGGCCCGGGGGGTCGAGCGCTCCCCCCCGGCTTGCGCCCCACAGAGGCCCGCACCCGAGAGGAGGCAGACGGCTCCCCCTCTCCTCCTCCTCCTCCTCCTCCTCCTCCTCCTCCTCCTCCTCCTCCTCCTCCTCTTTCTCCTCCTCCTCCTCTTTCTCGTCGTTATCTTCTTTCTCCTCCTCCTCCTCCTCCTCCTCCCTCCTCCTCCTCCTCCTCCTCCTCCTCCTCTCCTTCCTCCCCCTCCCCTCCCCCTCCTCCTCCTCTTCCTCCGCCTCATAATAATCCTCTTCCTCCTCGTCCTCCTCCTCCGCCTCTTCCTCTTCCTCCTCCTCCTCATCCTCCTCCCTCCACCGCCAGCCTCATGTCCCCAGCCTGTGCCGGGTTCTCAACTCGTCGTCCTCGTCGTCGTCGTGGTCCTCGTCGTGGTGTTCGTCGTCGCCCCTCTGGGTCGGCGGCACCAGCCGCAAGGCCTTCACAATACCTACACTCAAGGACCGTCGGGTACTCGGGGGGCCCTGTCAAGGTCAGCCGTGGGGGAGGCGGTCTGTGCGCGACCCAAAGCCTTGACTTGTGCTGCATCCTCGGCGGGCATTGTCGGTCCCGTCGTGCCGCTGCCCAGCACGCAAGATCCACGCCGAATCCATCCCGACAGCGTCGGATCCGCGTCGAATCCACGTCGAATAATCCACGTTGGACCCGCGTCGAAACCACGGCGAGTACAAGAGAGAATACGGCAACTTCTAGGACATGCGAGGTTCCCCGAAAATGCAACGTGACTTACCTGTCGGATATCTGGGAGAATGGCGGCCCTTGAACAGGGGCCGACCGTCTTGGCATTCCTGAACAACGACACCGAACGAATCAAACGCCGATGAACCAAAGCCATACACCGTATCACCCAGAACCTGTTCCCAAGCTGTTATGCGAACACTTCGCGCAAACCACCCAAGGTAATCAGCACACCAGCCGGTGGGACCGCAGGCAGGGCGGGACGCTCCGCCACCTGCCATCGCTCGGACGTCCATCCCCCGTACGTGCGTCGGCGTCGCGCGCTGCTTGTTCGCACGATGATCCAAAATGCTCCTCGATGGTTTTCGCCGAGATTGAGCTGGGACCGACCGTCCCGGCATTCCTAGTCCTTCCACGAAATGTTCTTAGAACCCAAGCATGTGCTAAGAACAGAAACAAGGTTCTAAGAACAAAAACAATGTTCTCAGAACATTAACCCGATGTGTTTACCCAAGACAGTCCCAGCCAGAAATGTTCTAAGAACATGTCGTGGATACCACCATGGGTTCTTAGAACATTGTTTGGCAGGGCTCTAGGTGAGCCAGGACGCCTCGCCACTCCTTGACGAGAAGCGATGCACACGCCTGAACAATGCAGGGCCACTGTTTGAGGCCAGAAGGGCGGGCATCGTCGCGTGCTTCGCCCAGCTGCCAGGCTGGGCGCCTGGGCGCCGGCAAACAACCTTGCGCGGGCTGCGCTCCTCCTCTCGGGGATGTCGGAGTGGGACCAGTCCACGACGTCGCATGCCCGGAAGCGCACCTCCCCGGGGTCGCAGCCCGACGATGGAGGGTCGAGGGGTCGAAGCTCGAGAGGGAGCAGACCGACGAAGCTCGAAGGGTCGAGGGGTCGAGGGTCGAGTGGTCGAAGCTCGAAGGGTCGAGGGGTCGAAGCCCGACGATGAAGGGTCGAGGGGTCGATGGAGTTCGAGACTTCATGTCTCCGATGTCGAAGACACACAGACACAACACACACAGACACGCAAACAGAAACGATGGGTGGGGACGAGGCAGCGACGGCGAGCACTGAACCGCCAGACCGACACCAGGGCCCAAACGACGGGCGGCGACGAGGCGACGACAGCAAGCACGGAGCTGGCAGATCGACATTCAGGCCCAGCTCCTGAGACAGGAGCTGAGACACCCGAAGCACAAGCACTGCTGTTGGAGCATGCGCCGGAAGGATTCGCCAACTTCCTCGGCTCCTTGGCAGACACAGCGATGTGGTGTACATCGAGCTCCTCCGAGTACATCGGCCGATCCCGTGCCACTGCGGGCGTCAAGCCTTGAACGCCCGCGCCGGGGCCTCCTCTGCGCCAGCGCGGCGCGCACCCGCCTCGAGCCCATGACACGGAGCGCAGAGGAGGCCTCGGGGTGCATGGCTGGCACTGGTCTGCCCCACAAGGATCCGATGCGCAGGAAAGGAACGCGGATCGCCGCGCTGGTGGCTAAGGGGATACGGGATGCCCCGGAGCGTCATATCTGGCCCAACCTTGCCCATGAGCAGGTGGCAACTGCCCTGACTGGCTTAGGCGGCAGATGCATCCGCAACGTGGGCCGAACCCACTGAGCCTGGACAATTACCTCCGGCCATGGTATCCCGCTTGCAAGCCAGGGTTAGCATTATATCAAGGAACTTGGTATCGACTCAGACCCCCCCCCATAGTTATCCCCTTGGCAGACCCCGCGCCGATCCACGTTCAATTGGGGAGAGACTGCCGGACCACAGCCTCAGGGAAAAAAAGGGATCCGACGCGCAAGAGACCCAAAGATCCGATGCCTTGTTTTTTTTTCCAACGACGTTCCCAAAAGTCCTGACCGCTCCCCAGGGCCAGCTCCTCGTCCAGAGTCGTGGTCTGACGGCCCTGAGCCCCGGCGAGGTCGCCCATGGGGCCGAAAACAGTGGAACACATCCGCCTTCAGCTTTTCCATGCGCTGGATCGGGGATGGACGGAGCCCCCTTTAGTAAGACGTGTTTCGGTGAGAACGACCTCGGGCCCAGACCTGGCGGGCGCAAGCCTGGAAAATAACGGCCGCGGTGCCCTCTCGAGAACCGAAGACGGACAACTCACGAATCGACGTGTCAGGGCAGGAGGTCTCTCAAACTCCGACTGGAGGTCTGGTGGCCTGGGGGGTCGCAGCTCGGCCTCTTCGCTGGCCGCTCGGGACGCTGCGTCGCCCCCCCCCCCAGGAGCTCTCTCGGCAGGCGCAGCTGCTGGCACGCACCCCGAGACCGAAAAACATCCGAGAACCGACAGTTCACATCCGAGGCCTTCGAACTCCCGACCTCGAGGGCACCGGCAGGCGCGCTGCCGGCGCAGAGGGGCGAGGGCGAGGGCGAGGGACAGGGCACGACGGAGGCGGGGATCGGGGGCCGGAGGGCAACGATACCGCCGCTGCCCAAACCTCTCCGGGGGGTGCTCTCCAACCGCTTTGGAGGACAACCCAGCCGAGGCGACGAGGGCCCCCCAGGAGGCCCAGGGACGCGAAGACGAGGCAAGGCTAGCGATAGCCCTCCCCCTCATTCTTCTGGCATTCCGCCCTGACATTCCGCCCCTTTTTCGGTATGCTCGATGTGGACGCGTCCTCGAAGTGCGTAAATTTCCGATGCAACTCAAAGAAGTCTGCGGCACCTTCCGCGGAGGTCGGATGGTATGGAAGGTGAAGGCGGAGGGAAGTGGGAGGTGGAGGGTGCAGTAGGAGCTCGACCACAAGAAACCTTCCACAAGAAATCCAACCTTGAGACTCCAGGACGCCTATTGATTTTTGGTGTGGGAAGGTCACGCTTTCCACGGCAAAACCATCGAAACCCAATAAACCCAGGACACTCTGGTGGCAAGCACGGTGTTTCTAGGCATGGGTTTCCACTGTAAGAGGACCCCTAATCATTTGGGAGGGGACCCAAGTTAGGAGGGCCAAAAGACGTTAGGGATAGAGGGACGTTGCTGCAGATGCGTTAGTGTTAAACCATACCGCCCTGATGTTTGATCCCTGAGGCAAAGACCTGTGTGAGGCCACGCCTTCACTGAGTTATCAGGGCTAGGGGCTCGTTTATTCTCGATGACGTTCGGTTCGTGCGGCGTTGGCGCGTGCGAAGATTTTGGATAGCGCCTCGGTCGTTCAAACTTGAGTCGATCGCAACCTCGATCGTTCAACATTACATTCCGTCGGGTCCAATGGCGCTAATTGCCGTGTCCGTCGGTTTTTACGCGTCGCAGAATTCAACCTTGATCGCCTTCGCACCAACGCGCCAACCCCGAATGAACCGACCGTACACAAATTGTCCTTGGAGCGCACACCGAGCAATCCGCTGCCTCTCACGGGAACTATCACCGTACCATCGACAAGCCGTTGCAGCTCCCACGCAGCGCACTGTTCTATATTGGCCGCCGGCTGGGCTAACGTCACCACCTTCGTGGCAGGAGGAGGTTGCGTAAACAGTTTGACGCAGGCGGAGTGGGAGGGATTGCAGCAGCGCTTCCCTACGTACCACCGCAGCCATCTGCCCTGGAGGCCCCGCAGAAGGTCGTGCTAGCAGCACACTGCGAACTTTACGCCTGCGTTCAGTGCAGGAAAGAAGTCATCGAGAGGGGGGCGGAATGCGATGGAAACAAAGCTGCGGGAATCAAACTGAAAAAAACGCTATAGACGATGCTGACGGTAGCGAGCCGCCCGCACAGGGGGGGGGGGGCGAGGGCGGGGATAAGAGCGGTCGAAAAGGGGGGATGCCAAAGGGCTTGGCAAAGGAGGAGGACGAAATGAACTCACGTGGCTGCTTTTTCCTGGTGCCTCCCAGCACCAGCAAGACCATGTATGGAGGAACGCCGCCCGGCGGCGTGGCCGAAACAAGCTGCACGCAACAGATTTCGTAACACCCCCCGCCCTTGCTCCCCCTGATTCCTGACTCCTGACGGCTGAAGGGACATTTGGTCGCAGCCTCCCCTGACTCCCCTCTTCCTCCTCCTCCTCCTCCTCCTCCTCCTCCTCCTCCTCCTCCTCCTCCTCCTCCTCCTCCTCCTCCCCTTCACCTCGTTCTCCTCCTCCTCGTCCTTCTCGTCGTCCTCCTCACCCTCCGCCTCCTCCTCCTCCTCCTCCTCCGAACTTCCACTCCTGCTTCCTGGCGGCTGCAACGACCCTCGGTCGCAGCCTCCCCCTCCTCCCCCTCCTCCCCCTCCTCCCTCCTCCTCCTCCTCCTCCTCCTCCGCCTCCTCCTCCCCCTCCTCCTTCTCCTCTTCCTCCTCCTTCTCCTCCTCCTCCTCCTCCGCCTCCTCCTCCTCCTCCTCCTCCTCCTCCTCCCTCCTCCTCCTCTCCTCCTCCATCTCCTCCTCCATCTCCTCCATCTCCTCCTCCTCCTCCCCCTCCTCCTCCTCCTCCTCCTCCTCCTCCTCCTACCTTCCACTCCTGCTTCCTGGCGGCTGAAGGGACCCTCGGTCGCAGCCCCCCCTCCCCCTCCCCCCTCCTCCCCTCCTCCTCCTCCTCCTCCTCCTCCTCCTCCCCTCCTCCTCCTCCTCCGCCTCCTCCTCCCTCCTCCTCCCTCCTCGTCCTCCTCCTCCTCTTCTTCCTCGTCCTCCTCGTCCTCGTCGTCCTCCTCCCCCCTACCCCTCCGTCGTTCCGACCGAAGGGGGGGGGGGGCGAGGGCGAAGGGGAGGCGGCGCGGCAGCACCGAGCACACTTCGGTGGAGCCCAGCAGGCCGAGCTCCCGCACGGTGATCCGGACCTGCGGGCGGCCAGGGGGGCTCTGTGGGGCGGCGCGGTACGGCACGCAGGGGCACTGGCGGCGAGTTTGGTGGCAACGTATGGGAGCCTCCTCCTCCCCCTCCTCCTCTTCCTCCTCCTCCTCCTCCTCCTCCTCCTCCTCCTCCTCCTCCTCCTCCTCCTCCTCTCCTCCCCCCTCCTCCTCCTCCTCCTCCTCCCTCCTCCTCCTCCTCCTCCTCCTCCTCCTCCTCCTCCTCCTCCCCCCCATCCTTCTCCTCCCCCCTCTCCTTCTCTCCCAGAACTTAATGCTCACGACCGTTGGTGCTGCACGCTTCGGCGGCAACTCATGGGAGCCTCCCATACCATCGTCTCGGCTATCGCGAATCGGCACTGAATCGACGCCAAATCGACGCCGACTCGACGCTCATCGACGGTATATCGACGCTAAATCGGCGCTATCTCACCGACTCCAGACGCCAATCGGCGCTAATCGACGCTACAGACGGAATGAAGAGGGTATACGAGGCTCCCATGATTTGCCACCGAACGAGGCACTGGCGGCGAGCTGGGAGGGGGGGAGTTCGACTACACGCAAGAGTGGCCCTAGTCATGAGTGCGAAACGAGCCACTGCCATCAGCACTCCATAGAACTCTCCGTTCCCAAAGGCCCCCCCCCCCCGAACTGGGGGCACTCCGTTCGTGGCACTCTCTGGGGGCGCGCCCGGAAGGGGGTGCCACCAGCTCGGGGAGGGGAAGCCTAGCTGGTGGACCGCGGGACCACATTGAAATCGGGCGTGTCCCCCAACAGGCGGATTTTGAACAAAACCATAAAAATTGTCAACACATCATCAATTAATGCCCAACAATAATCAAACAAATCGTCCCCTGACTATTTTGTACTATTTCTGAATATTCCTCCTGTGGAGGGACATGCCCGACTTACGACCACATTGGGCCCGCACCAAAGGTCACTCCAGCGAAAGATCGCTCCTACGTCTAGTCGAAGTGAGAGGGTGCAAGCCTTCTCAGAAGGCTCGGACGCCCCCAGGTCTTCCTGAGAAACTTTGT